GTCCCATTTAGCAAAGTAACTTGGGTTCCATGATTTCATCCCTCCAGAATTTATCTGCATAAGGACTTAAGGCCAAGGAGTCAGGCCAACTAGGGTTCAAATCCCTTCTAAGCTACTTCCAGCTGCATTTTGGGGCAAGAGCTCATCTCTGGGAGCCTATGTTCTCGTCTGTAAGGTGGGGATAATGATAGTACTTCCTGCACGGTTGTTGTGGAGACTAAGCTACAATCCAGTCCACAGTCAATGGGACCCTGAACTAGGTATATTTTAAACTGTGATCACATAAAAATGCTATTTATGTCACTTGATGCCCAAACCTTGAAATTATGCATATTCTCCAAATAAAAAAAAGAAAAGTCAGGAAGTGTACAGTGACAAAGGTGGTGAAACCACTGATAGCCACAGGCAGGCTTGTGTTAGCTGCTGAACAAAAACAACTACTGACTTTCCAGCAGGTCTAGGTGAAATTATACAAGCTCTAAATGATACAAGTAACCAACTCTGAGAAGTCTTCAGGAACATGCCCCTTGAAAAAACTAGGACTACCTTTCAATGCATGCCAGCAATTAGCAGGGGACTGGAACCTAGAAAGCTATTACGCTACTGTTGCTATATTAACTCAAAGATGAAAGCTTCAAGACAAACATTCCCACAATGGCAAATAAAACCCACTTCTGCCTTCCTGTGGACCTCAACTCTGCATGGGCCTCTGGTTCATGTCAGAGAAATCTTACTGTTGGAAAATTTGAGTCAGGTGTGCCAATAACCCTTTATATTATGAAACTATAAATTTCCCAGCTCTTACCCCAAAGACTACGACCTCAGATAGTGTTAACTATGCAGTCCACTGGCTTCATCACATACAACTTGCACAACTGGTTTTACTTCTATTCCCATATTTAGAACATTTTGATGACTGAGGTGACAGGGACTTCCCTGGGACTCTCTGTTCTCATGTCCTGAATTTCTAGAGGACAAAGTTGTGCCTAATTCACAATAAAAACTCAATAAATAACTTTTCAATTTATAAATGACCTCTATGGTTCATAACCCAAATTCCTCTCCCATTTTCCTAATAATGAACCTAAGGCCAATGAGACCAATAGCTGAAAAACCCCTTCTGTGGAGCATGAATTTCATGTTAGTAACTGTCTCCTCTCTAGAGAGAAGAGTTGACTTCCCAAATCTAACAGACTGGACTATTAAGAGGAAAGAAGTTTTTCGTTGTTTTTTTTTTGAGTTTGGAGTAGAGAAATGTTTATTGTAGGGCAATGCAAGGAGATGGGTGCTCAGTCGTCTCTGACACTTTCACCCCAGGGACTGTGGCCCGCCAGGCTCCTCTGTCCATGGGATTCTCCAGGTAAGAATACTGGAATGGGTTGCCATGCCCTCCTCCAGGGGGTCTTCCCAAGCCAGGGGTTGAACCCAGGTCTCCCGCATTGCAGGCAGATTCTTTACCAGCTGAGCTACCTGCCTTAAAAATCCCAAATTCCCACAAAGCTTTCAACAAAGCCCTTTTCTAGGAAAGGTGAGGGAGGGGTGTGGTTAGTTGTTGCAAACTTCTTGGTGTCAGAACCTTTGTTCTTGAGGTCAGGTCATGGTCAGGTAATGATGTTCCTGTAAACTTCCACCAAATAAAATTATTCCCTGTTCTGACAGGAACAGGCAAGGACCTAAGGCACAACTTTCACCCTCCAAGGTCCAGGTCCTGGCTGAGAGGAGGCGGATCTCAGCTGGCAGTCCCCCAGGGCCATGCACCCAGACCCTGCCCAGCTGTTGTTGCTGAGGGAGCCAGGCGTTCAGGACCCATCTGGTCCTCAGACTCCTCAGATGGCACAGGCCAGGCACCAAAGGCCGAGACCCAGGCAGACTCCCACTGCTATTAGGTCACAGAGGTGGGGATGGGCGAGAGATTCAACACCAACTCAAGGGCTGGACAGCCTTGGCCAGAGCTCTGGGGCCCTGCAGGGCACAACCCCCAGCCTGTTCCCTGGGCTTCGCCTCCTCCCCGCTCACCTATGGCCTGAGGCCTCTTACCTCACTCTCCTCCTAAGGACAACCCCTCCATTGACTATTGGCTGAATGGGCCTGGGTATTCTCCTTAAAATTGAGACGCATCAACGAAAAGGGGGGAATTGTAACAGAGCGGGGCAGCGCACAGCCCTTAGCAGGCAGCCATTGTTGGGTGCCATTACCACACAACACATGACCAGGCAATGGTTACCAGTTACCCCGAGACCACTAACGCCGGAAGGTTACAGCGAGGTGAGAGGGCCCGCTCGCCATTCGTCAGCGCCACAGTGGGCCCCTCCTCCAAGGAGCAACTCTCAAAGAGGAAACAGCTTTTAAAACACACTTTTAGAAGTCTCTGTTTTTCTAAGAAGCTTCTGGTTTCATAAAATGAATTCTGATGGTAAGTGTCTACACCACAGATTTGGCTAATAAGTGGTAAAGAGATAAGCAAAGAATGATTAAGAGAAAATAAGAACCTGGGTGAAACAGAGCCCCAGAGAGGACACTGGAAAAAGCACAGAAGGGATGCTGAGTCACTTAGTTCTAACTGAAGCCAGGTGTTACCGTGAGGGCAGAGGTGTTACCAGGGGGCAGAGAATATGATTCTTTAAGGTTAAACAGAACCATTTAATGCAGAGTCAATCTGATATTTTTTTTTTTTACTTATACTTCAATTTTCTGCCAAAGAAGATATTACTACCTAGGAAAGATTCAGACTTAGAAGCACTTAAAACCTTATCCTAACTGCAGGCGACCACATACCAGGAAAAGCTGGGCATGCCTTCCCCACATGAAGACGACCTCAAGAAGAATCTAAACCTTTCCCCTAGAAATAGATTTCAGTGGTTTTTCTACTGTCTTTATGGAGCTAACTTTAATCTCCTCTGAATTAACTTAAGTCAACACCTTGCATTGTTTTCGCTGGAGATGGAGAACAGTTGTCTCCGGTGTCAAATTGTAGCCCTGTAGATGTCTCAAGAGTCAATGATTTAGGACACAGACTAGCGACTTCCCCAGTAGCTCAGCTGTAAAGAAACAGCCTGTAAGTGGCAAAGAGATGGTAGATTTGATCCCTGCGTCGGAAAGATGCCCTGGAGAAGGAAACAGCAAACTCACTCCAGTATTCTTGCCTGGAAAATACCAGAGGGCCGGGGGGCTCCAGTCCATCGGGTCACAAAGAGTCAGACATTACTTAGAGACTAAACACTCACATAGACTTCTTAAGGCTAACTCTACCCAGATTTCTTAACTTTATATGATACTGTGACTTTTATTATCAGGTTCCTCTCAATATTGTCATCATAAATTGGGTTGCAGAGCCCAGAACCTGTGAATTCAGGGAAGCTAGTGTGAAATGACCTTTACCACCTGTGTTCCTTTCTTTGCCTCTCCAAACCCACTTGCTTTCTTAGCTAGCGAAAACCTGGGGTTGCCCAGTGATCACCTTAAACTTTGACCCATTCCCTTGACGTTTTTAGCTTTAAAAAGCTGTCTATGAATAGTTGTGCAATGGATATTGGGTGTTTATTTGTGATTTTAAGGGCATTTCAATAAAAGTCTTCCATTGACCTAGATAAAATGCCTGGGCCTCTTTCTGCTGTCAGAGTCTTCTCATCTGTGTGACCAACTTGGGTCATGCTCAGATTAGATGCCCAGCTTCCTGGCCTGGTCACCTTGATAGTGTTGTTTTATTTTAAAGATTTATTTAGTTTTGGCTATGCTGGGTCTTCACTGCTGGGCATTGGCTTTCTCTAATTGTGGAGAGCAGGGCCTACTCTCTCGGAGAAGACAATGGCACCCCACTAGAGTACTCTTGCCTTGAAAACCCCATGGACGGAGGAGTCTGGTAGGCTGCAGTCCATGGGGTTGCTGAGAGTCGGACACGACTGACTTTCACTTTTCACTTTCATGCACTGGAGAAGGAAATGGCAACCCACTCCAGTGTTCTTGCCTGGAGAATCCCAGGGACGGGGGAGCCTGGTGGGCTGCCGTCTATGGGGTCGCACAAAGTCGGACGCAACTGAAGTGACTTAGTAGCAGCAGCAGCAGGGCCTACTCTCTAGTTGCCGTGCAAGGGCTTCTCATTGAGGTCGTTTCTCTTGCAGAGCACCGGCTTTAGGCACTCAAGTTTCAGTAGTTGTGGCGCGTGGGCTCAGCAGCTGTAGCTCATAGGCTCCAGAGCTCTAGGTTCAGTAGATGGGGCGCAGGGATATGGTTGCCATGCAGCATGTGGGATTTTCTAGAAGCAGGGATCAAATCCATGTCTCCTACATTGGCAGGTGGCTTCTTAACCAATGGATCACCAGGAAAGCCCCTCATTTTACTAGTGCTAAAGCACCAGGGGATAAGGGTTATCAAAAGGTGACAACTTGTTAGGCTACTGACCACTGACTCTCTTTGGATGTCTATAGGCTTCATGTGGCCTGAGGCGCAAGCCCGCACGCATAAGCGGAGCAGACAGGCATAACCTCAAGCAGATCTTGAGCATCCTGGGATTGTCTTCCTCTCCAGGAGCCTGTCATGCACACTCACCCCATTGCCCCTTTACATAGGCTTCCCTCTGCCTGGAATGTTCTTCCTCTTGTTTTTCTATTCCTCAGGCCCACCTCATATGTGAGAGCACCGAGAAGCATTCCTTACCTCCCTGAACAGAAAGAAGTACTCCCTCCCCTTTGTTCCCAGATACCTCTTTTACAACCCTGGTCAGAATTCTGCAATACTTCTGTAGGTCTCTCTGCATCACTATAAACTTACTTTTTGCACTCTCATACAACTAAATCTATGATTCTTTTTTACAAAGTACAAGAAATGAAAGAAGGAAGTAAACGTGTATAGGATTCCTCAAACAGAGGTAACTGGGGTGGCTCTCGGCACTGGGGTGAGACCATCCTTTCTTATTTATCTCCAGGTTAGGGTGGACAGAGATAGAGAAATCTGAACAAGACAAGCTGGCCAGTTCCCAGCCAAGAGCAAGACATGTGCTGTACCTGATAGACCATTATATTAACAGTTTCTTCTTTTTTCTGTTCTGGAGGTCCTTGACTCTGTAGTAGATTTCGTACAGTTTCTTCCATCCTGAAAAATGAACAAACAAAAATAGATAGATAGATAAAAAAATAATTTAAGAAATGTTTCCTATTAACATGGGTCTTATTCAGTAAGTAGAAATCATTCTTCAGCAAATGATTCCCTAAGCTTAAAGCCTAGAAGTCTCTTTTCTCTCCTCTCTCCTTCATCCCCTGTATTAAGAATCTGTCCTAAGTCCTCTACAATCATTTTACAGAGTGGCCCTGGCTTCTCTCTCTTTCTGTTTACCATTCAGGTCTCTACCCTTGGACTCTCATGTCTGTACTCATGCAAACATCTTCCAACATCCCTTTTCACTTTCAATTTGACACAATGTCACTCCAGTAATCTTTCTGAAATACTCTTTTGATATTTAAAAAATTAATTTTCAAAGTCAACAAATCCTACATGAATGCATTTTCACCATTAATATACCATTACATCTTTCCATGGTGATCTTTCTATGTCAGCACACAAAGATCTACTTTATTCTTTTCAACTACTTCCTAGTATTCCATAATGTGAATGTACCATAAATTTTTAAACATTCCTCTGCTGATGGACTTTAAATTGCTTCAAATTTTTTGCTATTTCAATTAATAAATATCTTCACGAATACATCTTAATGCACATTTATGAATATTTCTATGGGTCACATTATACCATATATTGTATGCCATAACCTTATTAAGTACCCAAGTCAAAGTACCCCTCCCCAATACCTCCCCGCTTAAGCCCAAAAGAGAAGAGTAAAATGCACACACTCATTTCCATTTCCAGACATTGTCTCAAGCTGTTACTACTTTCTGGGATGCCAACAGCCTTTCGTCTTCTCATGGGCCATCCATCTTTCAAAATCCACCTCAAGTTTTACTTCCTAAGAGATTTCTTATTAGTACCTTACTTCTGTGAATTCTTACAACCCTATACTTATCCTTTCATTTAAAATTTCTCCATTCTAATCCTCACAGATTTCATGTATGCATGCTTTATCCTCTGAAGTACATTACAATATTTTGTATAGAACCATGTCATATATTCTTAATTTATCCTTCAATTCTGGATAAAGTAAACACTCAGAAGACATTATTATATGAATCTCTGGTTGATTCCTTTTTTTCTTTTAATATTAAATGCTTACTCTGTAACAAGCAATGAAAATGTATATTCAGACTGTATTCAAATGGCCTTGTCCTTGGGACTTATCCGTGAGGATTCTGAGAGCAGGCCGCCCGAATGAAACACACTGAACACAGCGCTCTTATGCCCAGACCCTGAGTCAGGTCTCTTCAAGCCCCATCCTGAAGCATGTATTCCAGAGACTCAATATGATCCTAGCTCAGAAGAGTTGTAGGGAGAAGTAGACAAAGCCCTCTCTCTTACTCGAGCATCTAGCAAGACAAATTAGGGGCCCTAAGGGTCTATGAATTCCTGAAAGTGGCAAGACCCTTACAGTAACCAAGGCAGTGTGGTTCAGAAAGCCAGCTTCTCATACGGCGCATCATTACTTAGCAGCAGAGAAAAGGCACTGCAGATGAGCTGGGCTAATCCAAACCTGTGTTGTAATTGGGGAAATTCTGCCCTCTCAGGGAGTGGAACCATTATCCTTTCAGGATTTGGAGAAGATGACGGACACTGATTACGAGTGTGCAGAGAATGATTTTTTTGCACATTTACACAAGCCACCTCTTCGTGAATCCATCCAGGAAAACAAAAATGTTCCCAATAGTTTCACATATCTCATTTTATTAATGATGATTAAGTAGTACTTTAAAATTGTCAAAGAACTCTCTCATGTATTAATCATTATAATGCACTTTTAGCTCAGTAGGTAGAGTCTGCCTGTAATGCAGGAGACGCGAGTCTGATCCCTGGGCTGGAAAGATCCCCTGAAGGAGGATATAGCAACCCCTCTAGTATTCTTGCCTGGAGAATCTCATGGACGGGGAAGCCTTACAGGCTACAGTACATGGGGTCACAAAGAGTCAGATGTGAATAAGCATATGGCAGTGGCAATGCACTTTTTAAAATATCATTATATCTCTGTGGTAGATGATAAAGCTGAGGCCCAGAAAGGTTACGTGGCTTACTTACACGATCATGGTTAGTTGGATAGGGAGTTAGGATTAAACTATTTTCATGACTGTAAAAACAGCATCTTTTTCCCACTAGGCTTTATTTACATTCAAGGAAATGATTTTAAATAAACAGGAGTCTTAACTGCTAATTAGGAGCTATATTTGTGAACACCTATTAGCTGCTAAACCCAAGAAAGCAAAAATATTATTTCTGACCTGAGGAGAGGTTAGAAAGGCCTGGTAGAAAAGACAAAGTAAGTTCAGGAGAAAAGAACAGGTGTGAAGAAGCTACAAATTCTGAAATAGTAAGTGATGAAAACCAATTTTTTTAATACTTCCTAATTTCATTTTATAGAAACAGAAACAACCTCTTTAATGGTAGTAGATTTTCCATGGTATTTGCTAAATCTATCATAAACAAGAAAAGTAGGGATTTCATTGGTGGTTCAGTGGCTAAGACTGAGTGCCCAAAGCAGGGAGCCTGAGTTTAATCCCTGGTATGGGAACTAGATTCCACATGCTGCAGCTGAAAGAAACTGCATGCTGCAAGGAAGACTGAAAATCCTACATGATGCAAATAAGACGTGCATAGCAAAATAAATAAATACAAACATTTTAAATAAGAAAAAGAGAAGGGTAATGATAATGTTAATAACTTGCCCAAGATCACTCAGCAGGTACTAGACTCTCATCTCCTAAATATTAATCTACTCTTTTCCTACCTTCGCAAAGAGACTGGAAGTCTTTCTCATGTCAATCCTTATTTTAATCATTTATATACAAATTTGGCTTAATTATGGCCCAATAGGTAAAACTCAGTTAAAATAAAATCTTTTCTCTGTCATCAATAAATTAGAATACAATTCTGTTTCAGAGCATATCTTGCTGTTATCTTTTCTGTGTAATTAAAAATTCTATGCACGAGTTGCTGGATCAAAAAGAAAAACATTTATTCACCTTCTCCCCTTTCTTCTTGACTTCACAGTTTAAAAATTAAGAAAGAAAAATGAGGGTGTGTACAGAGAATTGTTAAAATAGAATCTCAAGCAGCCTAGACCCCACTGTGGACACTTTTCTGGTACAAATTCATGATTAATTAAAACCAGTTATATATCTAAGCTACAGCTTGGAACAGAGTTGTAGGGGCTCAGCTCAACTCTTGATAAAAAAAAAAAAAATTAAGTTGTCTCATCTTTTCACAACTTTTATGAATCTGGTGACAGAGAAATATTTTGAACTTTATAAGAATATACCATTATTTACTCCCTAATGACATTTTTAAAAGAGATTATCATTTAGCAAACTCCCTTATTTTAAAAATCAAAGACTGTAAAGCACCATCCATTGTAGTGTGATGTCCAGTGACACTTTATTTTGTTTTATTATTTTGGTAGCTGGTATATGAGTCTAGTCTGCACCCAGAACAATAACACCATCCGCTTCCCAAATGTGAACTAAAAATAATCCAATTTCTTTCTCCAGGTTAGGCATGGGCAGAGTTTTCTTGCTTGTAAGTTGCTGATTTGTTGAACGTATCATTAAACACTAACCTTAATTAACATCTTCTAGTTCTGATTTTTTCCCCACTTTTGTCTAACCTGAGTCGGACACGACTGAGTGACTGAACTGAACTGTCTAACCTGAAATTAAATCCTTTCATCCTCTGAGTATGGGTCAAGTAACTATCATAACTAAAAACTGCCTAGGCTAAAATTATACTTGGTGAGATGCAGTAAATTTTAATATTTATTAAGTGAACTATTTTTTAAAAGTTAAGTCCTATACACATCAGACAAACTAAATTCATATGCAAACAGTATATTTTAGATAACATAGATAAAAATGTAAGAACTGTATTTAATTAAAAACAGATTCCATGTTTTATGATATATATCACTTAATTACCACCACCACTATAGTATTTTCTCTAGGGGAAGAAAAAAAGGTTTTGCTTAAAAGGGGCACAAACTTAAAGTTAGAAAAAAAGGACATTAAAAAAGAATTCATGAGAATAACAATTCAAAACCACCTAAGAGCTGGATCAGTGAGAATTTGAAACAAAATCTCCCTATGCCCAGGGACCCACCTTTGTCACAGACTCCCTTTTAAAGAGCACATGACTGGGGAATTGTCAGTGGATCTGCACCCATGTCTTACAGAGACAGTCTCTCTGCACAACAAAAGAAGATTCTTCTGGAAGTAAATGTTCAAAGATAATAGTTTCCTGAATCTCTTCAAGGCAGGAAACAACCTAATAATGTCACAATTAGAGAATATGATTTGAGCCCTAAAGAACTTCATTCATTCAATAATGAAAGGATTATTAGAAAACAGGATCCCAGGGCACTCTGGGAGCAATTTATTCTAACAGCAGGTAAAGGAAAGTGAACTCGTCCACACTGCTTTCTTCCTCCCCAAATCTTGCCCTCTCTTTTGCCTAATGACACTCTGGGAACTGATCAGACCATTAGACTGAAGTGTTCTTTTGTGACTCTTGTGATCAAATATTCAGTTTAGTACGTCACTTTTGACAGAAATGGAACAAAATGAACACAAAAACAAGAAGTCACTCTCCCCAAATCAAATTAGTAACTCATAAGGCTCATAGTAACTCATAAGGCTCATAAAGCTGATCATGCTTTTTGTTTTTAAGAAGTATACTTTAACTTGTATATTTGCTGATGAGTCACATAAAATAATAATGAAATCACTAATGCAGTTTTTCAATAGTCCCTCATATTTTCTTATGTGAGAGGCCTCAAGATCATAACCCACCCACTTCTGCTAAAATGCCTGCCATATTCTCTTCATCTACACTGTGCAGTTTGTCGAGAGCTGCTGCTGTGACTTGCAAATTGCTTCTCCTTGTGTTTTACTGCATTTGACTCCCAATCCTCTCATTTTGAGAAAGTGTATCAGTTTAAGCAAGGA